AGCATTTTGAAAGAATGTAATTTAGACTTCCTTCATGAACAATAGGTAAAACAAATTCCTGCGTGTAAGAATGTAAGGTTTTCGCGTATTCATCTACAATTGTTTTACAATTGTTTCTGAAGATGAAAGGCCGTGTTAGCCTTGATATTTGAAGTGTTCGCATTCCCGCGTCAGAGCGAAGAGCGCACTTTAAACAAGTTTGACATATTCTTCCACCTTTTCAACGATTCACAATAAAAATAACGTCCATAAGAATCTTTCATCCATTGTTTGAAACTGATAAGTGTTTTCTCTAAGACCTCCTCTGAAATGGATACTCACCAAAAATGTGTAAACTTTACACAACACTTTCCCGCCTCCAAGCAAGATCGTCCTCCTTATGCTATCAACAGGCTAAGGACTTTTAAAATAACAAAATGAAGGCAAGGACCTATAATTGTTTTTACTCAGATAACTCAAATGTCGGGTTGGTGAAGCTAATGAATCAGTGAGATTTTTATAACATACACACATAAAACAAGGTTTTTGAACTCAAGCAATAATGGCACGATTTAAATTGACCGGTGCAATGGTAAAAAAAAAAAAAACGGGAAAAAAATTTGAAGAAATAATTTTTGAAGATTAGCATACTTTAGACCAGGGGTCGCCAAACATTTGGTGAGATTTGGTCAGAATGCTATCCAGTGTCTTGGACGAAAGCCATTATATTAAATGTACTATAATAAATTGTCGTGATCTCAGACAGCTCCATTCATAAGGCAGACTTGGTCTGGATGATTGAAGAAAAAACAATAAAGTTAATGCTATATTATTCAACTAAGGATTTTTTTTTATATTTTAGGGTATGAATAACAGGATAACAAGTAACAACAAAAAATTCAAATTCTTTATTGCAATATCTGTCTATATTTCTGAGATGAGGTATTATGTACACTATTTACATTATTTGGACTATTGTCCTCATCTTTGTTGCCATATTTATTACAACGTTACGGCCTTTCAGTATCTGTCTATTTTTCTGAGATGAGGTATTATGTACACTATTTACATTATTTGGACTATTGTCCTCATCTTTGTTGCCATATTTATTACAACGTTACGGCCTTTCAGTATCTGTCTATATTTCTGGGATGAGGTATTATGTACAGGATTTACATTATTCGGACTATTGTCCTCATCTTTGTCGCCATATTTATTACAACGTTTTGGCTCTGCAGTATCTGTCTATATTTCTGTGTTGAGGTATTATGTACATTATTTACATTATTTGGTTTTACATTATTTACATTATTCGGACTATTGTCCTCATCTTTGTTGCCATATTTATTACAACGTTTTGGCTCTGCAGTATCTGTCTATATTTCTGTGTTGAGGTATTATGTACATTATTTACATTATTTGGTTTTACATTATTTACATTATTCGGACTATTGTCCTCATCTTTGTTGCCATATTTATTACAACGTTTCGGCCTTTCAGTATTTGCCTATATTTCTGAGATGAGGTATTATGTACACTATTTACATTATTCGGACTATTGTCCTTATCTTTGTCGTCAAATTTATTACAATGTTTCGGCCGTTGAACGCTCGGCCTTCTTCAGGTGGTTGGAATGTCGAACTGAACCCTTTATTTCGCTCACTAGAGTAGACTGTTCTAGTTCCACATGACATGTTTAATGGATATCTCCACTGCCTTAACCGGGTATTGAACTTTTTGGGTCCTGTCATTGGATCTAACTAACGCCTTTATCTACTGAGCCATGTGTCCTTGAGGACATCTGTGTATGAATTTCTGGGTATTATAAACCTAATGTTTTCATTAACCATTTTATACCCGTGCTCATATAGCAGTTTTTTGCAGTTTTCATTGCATGTTTTTTTACCAGATTTCATATTACAAGTTTTTTTGTTATTACCGCTTTTCTCTGGCAGTCCTTATTACTGGTTCCCATATTGTATTCATTTCTATGCTAAATAGTGTCCTTACTGCAAACTAAATACTGTGAGAAATGGCGAAATATTAAAGAGACTTGTTTGTGCTTATTGTTCGATAACTTCTCCACATCAGGGTTGGGGGATATTTGTCGATGACAGGAGCAAAACATCATCAAGGTGGTCATAATCCTACCTTGTTCTTAAACGACTTTTAGTATATTTCATTTTCAAATATCGATGTTCACAAGCATATGTACTTCCAAATAATTTTACCATCATTTTCGCATTATTCAATAAGATTTTATTTCGAAGTATATATATATATATATATATATGAAGAAAAATTTTGAAAAAACAAACAAAAATCCTTAAATGTAGTTAAAATGAAAGAAATGTCGACGTCTGACGTTTCGGTTTAATAAACCTTTTTCAAGACAATATTCATTAAAATACAATTCAGTTCAATATGACAAATACGATGGACATAAAAACACAAGTCTTATTCAAAACAGATAACTGAAAATTTTTAAAATGATCAGCCTTCCGTCTAACATGGTCACGCCGTCGTCACATGGGCGACGCTTTCATAACGTATTCCTAAAAGTTTGTGATTATTTTGAAATGAAAAAGAAAATGAAAAGAATTCTATTAGGTTCTAAAATTCTTATGTGTATGCTTGTCGAGCATCAATCTCGCTAAAAAAGGGGAAATATTAAAGAAACCAGGTCTAGTATTCACCGTGCGTGAGATGGATATTATACCTGCTTCATAAATCCTCCTAAGATTTTTATTATGAAAATATTTTAATACTTTCACGGAATCGAAATCGAAATTATGATCTGCTTTAGTTGTGTGTACAACTAAAGCATTGTTAAAATTACCGATACGAATATCTCGTTTATGTTCGAAAACACGAGATTTTAAGGACCTACCTGTTTCACCCACATATTTTAGGTTACAATTTTTGCATGATATTTGATAGATGCAAGCATCGGATGTAATATGTTGTCTGCTGGTGCTATTTAATAAACTACGGATAGTCCTAGTAGGTAATATAGTAGTTCTAATTTTTAATGCATTTCAAAATTTTTCTTCATTCTGTCGGATTTATATCCATTTACACTTTCTTATATATATATATATATATATATATATATATATATGTGTGTGTGTGTGTGTGTGTGTGTGTGTGTGTGTGTGTGTGTGTGAAGAAATATAGTTTTAAGGTGTGCTATATTTATGGGATAAATATAAAAGTGAACATTGAAGTCGACACTTAGAAGTGACAGACTGTTTCATGTTAGACGCAGTCGTCAGGCCGTGAGTGCTGGATTTTTCATTGACTATTTATATAATAAATATATCAAATAGAAAATGAAATACAAGTAAAATAAATTAACCCAAATAAATAAACAAACCACTCCCGCAAAAATAACCGCCAGAATCGATTACCTACAATGCACCAATGATCCATATATATAAATAATCGATGGAAAATCCAACACTTGCGTCCTGACGATTGTGTCTAGCATGAAAACAGCATTTCGCCTCTGAGTGTTGATTTCAAAGTTCACTTATATATATATATATATATATATATATATATATATATATATATATATAAATGTATGTATAATGATGCATGCTTCATTAGATAATATAGACAAGTTTTGTCTATTTATTTTAAGTAAGTTCCTTTTGTATTGTCTGATAAGCTTAATAACATTATCATTGAAAGACGAAAGGAAATCACCATATTGATACATGTTTAAATCCAATCTAAGCTTTCGGCTTACATAAGCCATTATCAAAGATGACAATTACTTTTCAATATATCAATATATCATGGACGAAACAATAATGATAGTCTGTTTTTATTGCATGAAAAATTTCAAACCAACGACAAACTCGCGTATATATTTTATATATATATATATATATGAAAATTTTTCCGATTTAACCAGTAGAGAAGACAATATATCTGTGTGTACGTTTTTGTTTTCCATGTCGACAAATATGAAAATTTCTCCGATATTTATCGACATGGAAAACAAAAAACTTACACACACACACACACACACACACACACACACACACACACACACATATATATATATATATATATATATATATATATATATATATATATATATTCCATCTTTTTCGCATTATTCAATATGCTTTTAGATTTTCCGCTTGGCAAAACATATTTCTTGTAGAAGTTAAGAGTGAATTCAGAATTAAATTTTAATTTAAAAAATTCGTCGCATTAACTCCAACTGATAATTTTCTGTCAAATGTCCCATGAATTAATTAGACAATTAATATAAGATTTTAATTTGGCGGGTCGGACAAAAATCCTACGTGGGCCGGGTGTGGCCCGGTGTTTGCCGATAACTGCTTTAAATTATTCTGGAGACTAAGACACCAGAATAAAAAAATAATAATAATATTTTCGATTTAGAAGTGGGTTCTTTTCCAAATATCAGTGTTAAATCAGTCCCTGATTTTTAATGGCTTATCAGAATTGACGATTTTTTCTTAATGTAATTTCAAACTGTGCCTGCGTCATTTTTAACTGCTTAAGAGGAATTTTTTTTTTTTTTTTTTTTTTGAATAAAGAACAAACAGATATACACATTCTTATGTATTTTATTTTAAGAATATATTTTAAGCTTAGGGGACACGTTAGGCTGAAACATTGTCTTCTTGTCTTGTCTTGATGCGGCATTCACCCTGGGCGAATTGAGCCGGCTTCTTCCTGTTGACGCACCGCATCACGAACCATTGCTGCCCATATCTCATTTAAACACCTGTTCTCGTATGTTCACCGAAGTTAAGCAACATCGAACCTGGTCAGTACTTTGATGGGTGACCGCTTAGGAACACTAGGTGCTGTAAGCATGGACGTGCGATTAGAGTGGCTTTCGACCATATCTCATTTAAACACCTGTTCTCGTATGTTCACCGAAGTTAAGCAACATCGAGCCTGGTCAGTACTTAGATGGGTGACCGCTTAGGAATACTAGGTGCTGTAAGCATGGATGTGCGATTAGCGTGGCTTTCGACCATATCTCATTTAAACACCCGTCCTCGTATGTTCACCGAAGTTAAGCAACATCGAGCCTGGTCAGTACTTAGAGGGAAGGTCACTTGGGAATACTAAATGCTAGAAGCGTCGATGGTGGGCGGTGTAAAAGTTGCATATTTTCCAATGTAAATATTGGCCCAGTATATCATGCCGGATTTTTCTATTCAGTGGGTGCTAACACTGTGCAACCTTACACAAGATGGTCAATTGTTTCTGGATATTTATCACAGAATCTGAATTTTGGGTAAACGAAATTTTTCAATATGTGTGCTTAGTAATTCCCAGTTAGCGACCATTGGTCCTTTGCAGTAAGAATAAATCTATCGGTTCCTACATTACGTAACCATTGCTGGGTACGGGGTTTGTCTACATCAGTTTGTTTGTTAGGAACAGCGTGTTAGCCATGTAAAGGCTTATCTTGCCATCAATTTTGCATTTGCTTTCTTTTTTAGGCTCTTTGCCGCTACAGTAGATGTATTATGGTGTACTTGCACTTCTTCGCACAATCGGAATTCCATTTGGAATTTTTTGGGAACCTTTATTACTGAATAAAGTTTCTTATTTCTTTCATGTTTTTTGACGCAGATTATCATCCAGTCTTCTATAGTTTCCAGTTATCTTTGAAGACTGAATAATTTGATTTTGTAAGACCGTTGTAGTTGAACTAATCTTCTACCTCCTTCGGATTTGGGCACATACAGATGGTCAACATTATTATTATTATTATTATTATTATTATTATTATTATTATTATTATTATTATATTTGCTTTTTTTTTCTTTTTGGCCTGCATTTGATTTATAATCACATGCCGGTTCATAAAGCCTTCGGTGTATGGCTTAATTATAAGAAAGTATTATAGAAGATAAGTAAATCAAACATAGGATAGGTGGCGCCAGAGTTATTCCCGGCCAACATCGGACGATGCTACAAAATCAAAATATTAACTCAAAAACTCGAATCCTGTTTTTAAACGCTTCCTCAGATCTAGACTCTCATGTGGATGTCACGCATAACATCTAACCTGTTCAGAAATGTCATTAACTATCATCTATAAAGAAGCAGTTTCCGCAGATCAATGATTAAAAATGACTTTGAGTGATTGAAAAACGAAAACTCTACCACCAGACCATATAGACTGGAGGTATAAAAACCCAAACAAAGAACCGTGCCAAATAAACAACAAAAAAAAGTCCCTTGAAGACTTGCAAAAGCAACAATTAAAATGGATAATACATGTAACTAAACGGGTAAATGATATAATCAAGGTATTGATTCTCGCATGGCCTTAAATAAATGTTAATAAAGAAACTCCCATCAATATCATCATCATCATCATCACCCGACAGCCCCGTGGTTGATCGAAACTCCATTGACAATCCTTTTCCACAGTGTTCGGTCCTGTATTGCTGTTCCCAGATCCACCAATGTACAACCCTGAGTCCCGAGCTATGATGTCTGGCAATGTCAATTTTATTCTTCCAGAAGGATTCCATAGGATAAAGAATGAGACAATTTTCCTGTCAACTCGGTGGCAATGTCTGGCAAACTCTTATTTCTTACTTTATCTCTCTCATTTATTGCTTTATAACACTTTCTCTCTCTCTCTCTCTCTCTCTATCTCTATCTCTCTTTCTCTTTCCTTGCTTCATATCTCTTCATCATCATCAGCAGCAGCAGCATTATCATCCTTCGATCTCTTATGGCTGATCGAAACTCCATTAAAAATTCCTTTCCACGCTGTTCGGTACTGTATTGCTGTTCCAGATCCCCAATGTACAACCCTGAATAGATATGGTGTCTGGGGAAAGTCAATTTTCGCGAGAAGACACTTACAGAAGGATACCATAAGAGTAAGAATGAGAAGATTTCCCTGTCCGCTCTGTGGCAGTGGCCGGCAAGCTCTTACCTCTTACTTTATCTCTCTCTCTCATTTATTGCTTTATCTGTGTGTATATGTGTGCAAGTGTGTGGCTTTTATTGCTTTATATCTCTTCACCATCATCATCAACCTTCGTTCTCCCTGTTGTTGATCGGAACTCTATTGACAGTCCCTTTCTACGCTTTTCAATCCTGTATTGCCGTCCACAGATCCCCAATGTTCAACCCTGAGTCCTGATCCATGGTGTCTAGGAAAGTCAATTTTCTTGAGAAGACACTTCCAGAACGATTCCATAAGAGTAAGGAGGAGACGATTTCCCTGTCCACTCGATGGCAGTGGCTGGCAAATTGTAATCGTTTTTGTTTCAGCTTAAAAGAAATTGGTCACAGTTCCCCGTAAATTGTGTTAAGCGTTACATGGGTCTCTCATTGATACTGGATTTTTCTAAGTAGCTTTCTATATGTTCCACCCAGTCGTCTTTCAAGACGAACAGATCATGTCCAAGTTTCTGATCCATACAATACTAGAAACACTGTATTTGAGAAATCTAAATTCCTGAAGTACCTTTTGATCCATATTTGTTTTCTAATCACATGCCGAGTCATAACTGATGACCCTCGGGCAAGCGAACGATATGATTCATTGTTGTTTCTACTTAAACTAAAAAGACAGTTATTAACAAAAACTTAAAAAGGACAAAGCTCTTACCAGGATAGGGGCTGAGCTTTTTAGTACTATTTTTTGGATTTCCTGGAAAGATCGTGCCCCGTGGATCTTGTTGATTTATTGTTGAGTTCCTTTCTATACCAGACCCAAAGCTCCAGCCACAACAGGAACAGTGTTCTATCTTAAGTGCTATATTTTATATATGCTGTTAACTAAGGACCAGATTGACTTGTTAATTTTAAAACCTCCAAAACGAAACTGCTCTTTAATAGTCATAAAGTACATTTTTTCGGCTTTCCATTGGCATGGCTGATGCTAACCTTTAGGAAAGCAACACATTGGAAAGAGTATATTGAATCAATTGCTACTCGGGAAATTGGTTTACTGAGTCGTGCTAGAAAATTTATCACTCCAGAATCTATCTTACACATTTTTAAGTCTAGCATTAATTTATTGATTAAATATTACTGCTACACCTGCTCTACTGTATGGATCTAGAGATTATTGACAAAATCCAGACAAGAATCTGCAATGTTATCAGTTCTGACCTGGCAACTCGGATTCAGTCATTTTCCCGCCATCGTAGCGTAAGTCCGTTGGGCATTTTCTATAAATATATTTTATGGTAATTCTTCCTGATAAGCTTTCTTTGGTGCCTCGACTTCCTGAATTTAAGCGCATTACGAGATTAACGGATAAAGTCTTTACTTTTGAAATTACTAGACGTAAGTTCTATTCTAATAGTTTCTTCTCTCGCACTCCTCGCTTGTGGAAATCATTTCCGGCGGTTTTTTCTATGTTCTATCATCTTCTGTCGCCTTGGATTCTGTTTTTTTTTGTTGCTGTTGTTGTTTTTTTATTGTCTTATCGGCTGAATAAATTATTTCTCGGCTTGTTTCATTTCGAGTACCCCTTAGGATCTTTGTGGTTTTAATACATTGTTCTGGGTGAAATGATTCAAATCTTGATAATATTGACTGCTTCATCGTCAGATAGACACAAGCCGCCCACAATTTTAGACATTTTATTTGAATTAATATTTATGTATTTATTTGCTTTGATTTCCCGAAAATTTCTCACATCTGCAAATGTCTGTTGTACATACCATAAACGAATTTTCAATATCCTTCCATCTTACTAGTTCTTGTGATCAGTCATTTGTTTTAAGAAAGCAAAACTTTGCCAATGCATATTAATCGTGTGCATTTAACGCGTGTGCCCGCATAAAGCAATAAAAATGCAAATAGTATATCTACATATAAGTATGTAAATAGGTCTTCGAGATAAATATATATGCAAATAGATATTAGACCGTTACCAGGCTGATTTGACTGATAATCGTTGCGCAAAGAAGAGATTAACCCAAGACTAAGGTTGTTCTATAAATCGTGGCCACAACAAAAGTATGGATGAGAGGGGAAGCATAGGATGAATGCGGTAAACATGGATGAACTTGTTATCATAACGGACCTAACAAAACAAAAACTCAGATATATTACTTTAGAAGCAGCAGCAGCAGCTGCAGAGGCGGGAAAAACAATGGCCGATTATTCGCCATGAAAGAATCTCTGTTCTCTTAACCGATTTTAGTCTGCAAATAACTTAGAATATGGAAAATCGATACTCACGACACAAAAAACGTGCAGGCATGAACTCAAATAAATTAGGCGTCAATAAAGCTGTATCGAAAACGTTGGCAATAATAGAAGCCACGGGCATAAAAAATATGCAGTTAAAAAAATTTTTACGATATTACACTGCTCTACGGATGTTTTGACACAAGTCAACTTTTTCTTAGATAATATTGGAACGCTGACTAAAAATGCCGAATCCATATTTACTAGTTAACTCTAAACGCTGACATACAGTACATTTTATTAATGTTTTTTATAACCAAATTTCTCATAATATTAGTCCAGGGCATGACGATAAACTAAATCCGGCAGAAAGGCCTCTGATAAGGAAATTGAACGTTTTCAGGAACGAGGAACCACTTCTTAATCACTGCTTTTCCAAAGTTCTACCTTACCCGGGGTGGCAGCAGCTGTTAGTGGAGGGGAGGGTGCCAAATATATCGAAATAGTGACGCCTCAAATAAAAACAAAACACTATGAAAGTATTAAAAGAATTTTTATAGTCAAATGACCATCAATACATTTTAATAGCAAAATAACCAACAATACATTTTTATAGTAAAATGACCAACAATATATTTTTATAGTAAAATGACCAACAATACATTTTTATAGCAAAATGACCAACAATACATATTTATAGTAAAATGACCAACATTACATTTTTATAGTAAAATGACCAACAATGCATTTTTATAGCAAAATGACCAACAATACATTTTATAGTAAAATGACCAACAATGCATTTTTATAGCAAAATGACCAACAATACATTTTTATAGTAAAATGACCAACAATACATTTTTATAGCAAAATGACCAACAATACATTTTATAGTAAAATGATCAACAATACATTTTTATAGTAAAATGACCAACAGTACATTATGTACTAAAATGATTAACAATACATTTTATAGTAAAATGACCAACAATATATTTTTATAGTAAAATGAAAAACAATACATTTTATAATAAAAGGACCAACAATACATTTTATAGCAAAATGACCAACAATACATTTTTGTAGTAAAATGACCAACAATGCATTTTTATAGCAAAATGACCAACAGTACATTTTATAGTAAAATGACCAACAATACATTTTTATAGCAAATGACCAACAATACATTTTTATAGTAAAATGACCAACAATACATTTTATAGTAAAATGACCAACAATCCGCTTTATTGCAAAATGACCAACAATGCATTTTATATCAAAATGTCCAAAAAACATTTTATCTGTAGTTGAAGGCATGCAATTGCGTTCCAAAATATATTCAGTTGAAGCCATAAAACTCTTTTCAAAATATTTACATTCCGGCGTTTCATAATCCATAGAGGTTGATATGCCGCTAAACAAAACACACGGAAGCGGCATGGCACGTGGAACTAGAAAAATCTACCCCTGTGGACGAAATAAAGTGTTCGGTTCGAAATTACAATCATCTGAAGAAGGCCGGGACGTACAACAGCCGAGACGCTGTGAATATGGAAATGAAGATGAAGATGACAGGCCGAATAATGTAAGTAATGAAAGGACACACAATCCTTACAAATATCCTACAATTTCTTACAGAAATCAAACTGTATTCCAAGATATAACTTAAACAAAACTATAATATAAAACACATATATCACTATCTTTATTAATCATGTCCACAGAAACATGTTGATATAATGGAATATGCATACACCTGTGTTCCCCCTCACTGGAATGTGATTGGCTGGTGCCCGTCATAAATACCGACGGACGTGTAGGAGAGTCAAGAGCTTTAGTCTGGGAGCTAAGTCTATAACGACGCCCATTGGACTATGCCATTGATCTACACTTCTTACCTGCGACTACGACGCGTACCAGTCGATTACCGCTACCATATTCTACTTGGTTATAGTAGCCAAAACCACTTAGCTACTTCGATTAAATATATCCCTTTCCGGGACATATCAGAACATTGTACTAGATAGATAGATAGATAGATAGATAGATAGATAGATAGATATGAAAGGACTGAGATATGAACATGATATAATGGAATATGCGTACATCTGTGTTCCTCCTCACTGGAATGTGATTGGCTGGTGCCCGTCATAAATACCGACGGACGTGTAGGAGAGTCATGAGCTTTAGTCTGGGAGCTAAGTCTATAACGACGCCCATTGGACTAAGCCATTGATCTACACTTCTGACCTGCGACTACGTCGCGTACCAGTCGATTACTGCTACCGTATTCTACTTGATTATAGTAGCCAAATCCACTTAGCTACTTCGTTCAAATATATGCCTTTCCGGAACATATCACATGTATATGCATAAAAGCTGAGTATCATCTACCATGTATTCGATTGTGAAAGCAGAATAACATTTATCATATTTTTATTACTTCAAAACTCCCAAGAAAATTAAATTTCGACATGAAATGACCCATAAAGGAGTTGATATGCCGTTAAACAAACGAATCAAGTCAAGCAACAGAAATAAAGGAAAACTACGCATAGCCTACCTAGCGTGGTTGAGTGAATGGATGGCGGAAATTAAGCAACGTTGAGCCTGGTCAGTACCTAGATGGGTAACCGTTTGGAATTGTCAGGTGTTGTAAGTTTTGATGTGCGGGTGGTGTAATGGATAATGACTCGGAATTCAATTGCGAAAGCAGAATAACATCATATTTTTATTACTTCAAAGCTTCCAAGAAAATTAAATTTCGGCATTAAATGACCCATAACGATGTTGATATGAAGTTAAACAAATCAAATCTCATTCAAAGTAGTTCTGAATACCTCCTTCAAAACAAACGAATATTATAAAATTTCTGACTGGTTATTACGTATTTATTTAGTTATATTTAATCAATTCACCCCAAGTAAGGTGATAATGCCACTAGGATACAAGGGGTTACTTGAAGTGAAAGAGAATGAGAAGACTTTATTGGGAAGGGTTGAGGAAAAGGCAAAAATGAACCAGGCTCAAGAAGACAAGATGACGTTTGACGTTGCATTTAAATCTTTGAAGATTATAATTATCAGGGAGACAAGGAACCGGAAGAGGTTCCTCAAGTGAGAAGTGCGAGAAACGAAACTGTTAGACTAGAAGCAGCGGTTGCATCTAGCTCATTCAACAGTAAAATAATGAAACTGAGTTGACAAGCTTAAATTCATTTAATCAGAGCCCTAGAGTATAAAATAAATAAAAGGCTCAACAGAAAAGTTACGATAATGCATAATAATAATAATAATGACAGTGTAATTTACACTATTTACATTGTTCGGACTGTTGTCCTCATCTCTATATGCCATATTCACGGCGTTTCAGACGTTGTACGCTCCAGCCTTCTTCAGGATCTCTCTATGTTTCTGAGATGAGGTCTTGTAATTATTTATATATTTACATTGTTCGGACTATTGTCCTCGTCTTTATTTGCCATATTCACGGCGTTTCAGACCTTGTACGCTCCAGCCTTCCTCAGGGTCTCTCTATACTTCTGAGATGAGCTCATATAATTATTTACACTATTTACATTGTTCGGACTATTGTCCTCGTCTTTACTTGCCATATTCACGACGTTTCAGGCGTTGTACGCTCCAGCCTTCTTCAGGATCTCTCTATGTTTCTGAGATGAGGTCTTGTAATTATTTACATTATTTACATTGTTCGGACTATTGTCTTCGTCTTTATTTGCCATATTCACGACGTTTCAGACGTTGTACGCTCCAGCCTTCTTCAGGATCTCTCTATATTTCTGAGATGAGGTCTTGTAATTATTTACACCATTTACATTGTTCGGACTATTGTCATCGTCTTTATTTGCCATATTCACGGCGTTTCAGACCTTGTACGCTCCAGCCTTCCTCAGGGTCTCTCTATACTTCTGAGATGAGCTCATATAATTATTTACACTATTTACATTGTTCGGACTATTGTCCTCGTCTTTATTTGCCATATTCACGACGTTTCAGGCGTTGTACGCTCCAGCCTTCTTCAGGATCTCTCTATGTTTCTGAGATGAGGTCTTGTAATTATTTACATTATTTACATTGTTCGGACTATTGTCTTCGTCTTTATTTGCCATATTCACGACGTTTCAGACGTTGTACGCTCCAGCCTTCTTCAGGATCTCTATATTTCTGAGATGAGGTCTTGTAATTATTTACACCATTTACATTGTTCGGACTATTGTCATCGTCTTTATTTGCCATATTCACGGCGTTTCAGACCTTGTACGCTCCAGCCTTCCTCAGGGTCTCTCTATACTTCTGAGATGAGCTCATATAATTATTTACACTATTTACATTGTTCGGACTATTGTCGTCGTCTTTACTTGCCATATTCACGACGTTTCAGGCGTTGTACGCTCCAGCCTTCTTCAGGATCTCTCTATGTTTCTGAGATGAGGTCTTGTAATTATTTACATTATTTACATTGTTCGGACTATTGTCTTCGTCTTTATTTGCCATATTCACGACGTTTCAGACGTTGTACGCTCCAGCCTTCTTCAGGATCTCTCTATATTTCTGAGATGAGGTCTTGTAATTATTTACACCATTTACATTGTTCGGACTATTGTCATCGTCTTTATTTGCCATATTCACGGCGTTTCAGACCTTGTACGCTCCAGCCTTCCTCAGGGTCTCTCTATATTTCTGAGATGAGCTCTTGTAATTATTTACACTATTTACATTGTTCGGACTATTGTCCTCGTCTTTATTTGCCATATTCACGACGTTTCAGACGTTGTACGCTCCAGCCTTCTTCAGGATCTCTCTATATTTCTGAGATGAGGTCTTGTAATTATTTACACTATTTACATTGTTCGGACTATTGTCTTCGTCTTTATTTGCCATATTCACGACGTTTCATTGTACTCCAGCCTTCTTCAGGATCTCTCTATTTTCTGAGATGAGGTCTTGTAATTATTTACACTATTTACATTGTTCGGACTATTGTCTTCGTCTTTATTTGCCATATTCACGACGTTTCAGCCGTTGTACGCTCCAGCCTTCTTCAGGATCTCTCTATATTTCTGAAATGAGGTCTTGTAATTATTTACACTATTTACATTGTTCGGACTGTTGTCTTCAACTTCATTAAAATTAAATTCAAGATTTTAAAACAACTCCAACAAAAATTTTTTAAAAAAATTGTAAATTTAAAACTTTAAAAATTAGGAAATAGGAGTTAAATATAAAACTAATTTTGAAGGAAATAAGAATTTCAGATAGAAATTTAATTAGAAAGATATGTTAAAGTAAAAATTATTTTTTTCTACTAAAATAAAATACACACATAGAATACAAATACTTAGTGAAACTAGAATTCCAAAAAGTAAAACTTTAAAATTTTGAAGGGATGATTTTCAAGTTTGTTGAGACACGATGAAAGACGTAAATGAAATGAACGAATTGCAGTCCCAAAAAGTTGAATAGGTTTTCCCAGTAAGGAAATCCAAGGTTTCAAAACAACCCTGATAAAGTAAAAAAAAAATTTACTTTTTCCTAGAATTAAGTTCTAATTAGTAAGGGGAAGATAACCCTTAAAACACGTGACCTTTTAACGATACTAGCATTTAGAGGCCACCCTAAAACATTTTCATTTTTAATAGACTGTAATGTTTCTTTGAAAAACGCCAACATCTGTTGACATCAAGAGAGTAATGGAGTGGGAGAGGGTATTTCTTTGAAAGTCGTCCCCAGTGAGACGCCGAATAAAAATCATGTGTAATGGATGGACTAAGTAACTAAGGAAGGTACACACAGAATTATAATAATAATTTTTATATTGTTTGGACTGTTGTCCTCATCTTTATTGCCATGACGTTTCAGTCGTTGTACGCCCCAGCGGTCTTCAGTTATTATTAGTTGGAATTTCGAGACGAACCCTTCATTAAGTCCACAAGGGTAGATTGTTCTAATTCCACATGCCATGCCTTTTCTGGATATCTCAGCTTCAGCTAATTCCCTTTCAAGTCAACTCAAAGTTTTCGTTCCTCTATTAAAACCTTTCGGTGAAGTTTTTTATTTTTATTTTTTTTTTTTTAGATCATTAAACCAACGCTTATATACAGTAGGCAATGTGTCCTTGGGGAGATCAATAATTGTCTTGTTCTAAGTTACGAATGGAAATATTATAAAATCCTTGAATATAATCACTTTAAATAATCTGAATCAAATATTTATGATAAAAACAATCAGTGATATAATTTGCGTGGTATTAGCAATGAGCAAGATGAAAGATTTTACCTGACATTAAATTTAGATTTTGACTTGATGTGTTTGTTTAAAGGCATATCAAATCTTTATGGGTCATTTAATGCTGAAATATAATTTTCTTGGAAACTTTGAATTAAAAAAAATGATATGTTCTGCTTCCACTTGTGAATACGTGGTAGATAATCCTCAGCTTTTGAGCATATACATGTTTGTGTGGACATAACTGTAGTTTTGTTGGAGTTATATTTTGGAATACTGTCTGATTTTCCTTTAACTCAACTCTGCAAGTTTAGTTCACCACTGCCCTGGCCTGGTATTGAACTCTTTGTGTCTAGTCATTGGATTTAACCAACGTCTTTATCCACTAGGCCATGAGGGAAATAACAGAGACATCCGGAAGAGGCATTGTACGTGGAACTAGAACAATCTAACCTCGTGGATGAAATTCCAAACACCTGAAGAAGGCCAGAGCGTGAAACGACCGAAACGTTTGAATATGGCAATGAAGATGATGATAGCAGTTCGAATAGTGTAAATAATGTAAGTAATCATAATACCTCACCTAAAGATGTAGACAGACATATAGAGAGACATAGACATAAAGACCTGAGCGTACAACGGCCGAAACGATATGAATATGGCAATGAAAATGAGGATAGCAGTCCTAATAATGTAAATAATGTAAGTAATCATAATACCTCATCTCAGAGATATAGACAGATATATAGAGAGACATAGACATAAAGGCCGGAGCGTACAGCGGCCGAAACGTTGTGAATATGACAATGAAGTTGAGGATAACAGTCCGAATAATGTAAATAATTTAAGTAATCATAATACCTCATCTCAGCGATGTAGACAGTACAATCGTTCTTAACAAATCGTGTAATGAAAGTCGTGTTAAATGGCCACGGCTACAGGTCTTTCATATTAATGCGCGAGTCAACCCCGGGCTCTAACCTTGAAGATACGTTATTTCTTATCTTCATCAACGACCTCCCCTATTTCATCTGTCCCCAACTAGGTACTTATGCGGATGACATGACTATCTATTCCTGTCTTCAAAGTCTGATTTGTTCAATATAGTTAAACTGGCAGCTGCGCTTGAAAATGACCTCCAATCAGTTGTTAACTGGGGCAAGAAATAACTTGCAAAAGAGAAACTGCTATCTTTGAATCATAATGGAGAAGATTTGTTTTGTATTCCCTCACCATGGCTTATGTTAACCTAGATGAGAGCAATTCATTGTGACAACTTGGATTCCCGTTTTTGCTTCACATGAACTGGAGTGATTTTATTGAATCAATACTTAGGTTTTAGGAAATTTGGTTCTCTGTTTCCCACCAGAGAATTCTTCAGAATCCGTCTTCGAAATTTATAAATCTACCATTCGTCTATGCATTGAATATTGCTGCAATATCTGTTCTGCAGCTTCTGCAATATCTCGACATTCTTGACAATATCCAAAGAAGAATCTGTAATCTTGTCCATCCCGACTTGGCGTTTCGATTTCAGTGACTTTCCCACTGCCGAGATTTTAGATATTATTTTGCCGCAAGCAAGGCAATAAAGCCACTAAGATGCAAGGGGGTTAATGTGTGTGAGAAAATTTGAGACAAATATAATATTAGGGAGATAAAACAATAAAAGAACAAGAATTCAAAAATAAGATTGCATTGCATGTAAATTTTTAAAGATCAAAGTTGACAGGGAAGCAAGAGGCCGGAAGAGAGTTCCACAAGCGAGAAGTGCGAGAGAAGAAACTGTTAGCATAGAACTTACGGTTACATCTAGCCATATCAACTGTAAAATTATGAGACCTAGCTGCCAATCTAGTACTGCACTTAAATTCATAAAGTCTAGCTACCAAAGAGGATAGCTCATCAAAACAATTACCATGAACATACTTATCAGATTAAGAAACTGTTAACATAGAACTTATGGTTACATCTAGCCATTTCAACTGTAAAATGATGAGACCTAGCTGCCAATCTAGCACTGCTCTTAAATTCATAAAGTCTTGTTACCTTAGAGGAAAGCTCGTCAGAACAATTACCAAGAAAGTATTTATAGAAAAGGCTTCCCTCTGTCTTTTCTATAGATATTTTCATGACAATTTTCCTAATGATCTCTGTTCCTAAGTATCTTAATGAATTTAAGCAAACTATTAGATTGGCAACGAGTTGTCATCATTTTACTGTTGAAATATCTCGATATAATCGTAAATTCTATTCCAATAGTGCTTTTTTTGTCTCGCACTTCTCGCCTGTGGAACTCCTGTTTTCGGGTATCTTACTTTCCTACCACCTACGATCATCAAAATTTTTAAATTCATGCATCATTCGCCATTTTCGATCTTCCTGAACCTTGTTCTTTTATTGTCCTTTCTAACATTTTCTTTTAACACTCTCAGTAATCTCTTGCGTCTTAGTGGCTTTGCTTCGAATGAAATAATTTAAAAAATACATACAGTCCTCAAATATAAGTATAAAAACCAAAAGTAAAATCACTGGTGTTCATTTTCAAATTGCCAGCCTTCATTGGAAGACTGATGCTACACAGTCTTTCAACTCATATTTTTTTTCTTTGTGTCTTGATTTGCTGGATCCACCTAAGCTTAACAAATATGTTAACGTATAAAATCTGTTTTTGTAAGTGATGCTCTTAGATGAATGCTCCCAAAACGCACATTCATATATATATATATATATATATATATATATGTGTGTGTGTGTGTGTGTGTGTGTGTGTGTGTGTGTGTGTGTGATTAAAATATATGTAAAAATACACGCGATTTGATAATATCTGCAAAGGCGGAGACAAAGAAGAAATTGTCCAAAAATACCATTAAAAAAGACCCCTGCAATAGGAAATAAAAACTTGCAAGATACACTATTCTCCTGCGTAACTACTGAGGCACATGGTTTGAGTCGAAGCAAAATTGCTATCACTTTTATGGAAGTCCCCCGACTTCGATTCTTCGATACAGCGAACAGATGAAAGCGGATGGCCTTTGATCCGTAAGATGGCAATAATAGAATAGTTACAGCTGTAAAAGAAGCAACGAAACTGACAAATAAAAACGAAGAATAAAAGCAAGGGGAAAAAATATTAAAGAACCAGAAACTGGGCGAAAATGGCTAAGGTTGCATGGAGCAGACGCTATCTGCTTCTCACAGGCCACTCATGTCATCAGGAGATAAACACTGGACCATGCAGGCTGCCTTTTCTTTCACTTGTTTTTCTGTCTTATCTCGAAGCCGCAGTAAAAAGGAGCTGAAGCGAGCAAAGAAAGAACTCACCATAGAGTAATGGAGGCAGTGGGGAAAGACCAACGCTAATGATTACAATATAGCTTTTTACCGCCGTTCCACACGCCCGACGCCATTTTTTTTCTTTTCCGACATCTTTTTTTTTTGTTGTTTTTTTTTTTCATCTTTTCTCGCTTATTCATTTTGTCCAGTCTCCCGCCACAAACCGGGTTTTCCACTCTGTTTCCCACGTTACTTTCCGAGGGCACATCTCTCGCTAGCTTCACGCATGTTCGCGATTGCATGTTTGTTTATATATATATATACGTCTGTGTATAAATTTATATGCTAGCAGAAAGAGAAGCCAAAGAGCCAAGTTCGATTCCCAGTCGAGCTCGGTACGTTCACGAATACCCTTGCGAAAGGCATGCATCTATCTTTTCTCCCGTTAGCTATAGGTTGACAAGAAGAGATACGATCTCTTGCCATGAGGTGGCAACTAGACTAAGAGAAGGAAACTCTTCTTCAGGATATCTAGCTCAAGAGATACCACTACTACCATAGGTTATGCGCCTTTGACCCTAATGGCTTACGGGACTTATTACATCTTTTAATGTTTTAAGAGTGTCTTTTTATATATGTGTGTAATATATATATATATATATATATATATATATATATATATATATATAGTTTATGCAAATTTAGGTAATCCGTATGGGTAGACCTGAGAAGGATGATATCCAGAGAGCTCAATGTAAAATTCAGAGCAGATATGTTTGAATAAAAGACAGAACACGTTAAGATTCCATGTAATCGGCTATTTCAGCATAACCCCTTTAACAGGGTTCTGGATCATCAGACTTTACTTCCAAAAGCTGAAATGAAAAATGAAAAGAAATTCATACGTTTTTTAGGGACCTCATCAAGTCTACGTAAAGTTAACGAAGTGAGGAAGTGAGGTGGGAGAGAGGATATGAGTGTGTCATATGTATCATTTTAGTTTCCTATTTTAACCCCAGTGTGTCGGCTAGATGTTGCTCAAATTTAACGCGTCTCGTCTCTAGATATAGATGGCTAAGGGGTGAATGATAAGAACGACATTAAAGGAAGAAGTTACAACAACCCCAATCAATTACACGACAGGTTTCATTCAAATTCTTAGACGCTGTCAGTTCGCGTTACTTTAACGTGCATATTTGGGAGGTTAAGGTTTGATAAATATCTAAATGTTAAAACAATCTACGAAGAAATTAATTTGAAATTCGGTGGAAGAATCCATAGACAGAACATTGAAAGAGCAATCCATTTTATATTTAGTAATTTTTTTTTTGGGGGGGGGTTAAGCCAGAAATTATTAGTCCTTAAACTCACACCTGACCTCAAGTGGAACTCGGACATATGAGACATCGCTAAATATACAGATAAAATGGTTGGCTCGCTTTACCGCTCCAGTAAGTACCTGACACCACGTAAAATTTTCTACCTTTACAGGAGCCAGATCAAGCCAAGAATGAAGTACTGATTTTGTATCTGCCTTGGATCTGCCCAATCCGCATTTTCCAGTTTCGACAGAGTACAAAAGCGTCTCCGCGTCCGTGTGAGTGACAAATTTTTACCCGCCCTGCAATCTGTCTCTCACAGATTGTGTGTGGCAAGCCTCTCCATTACTCTATGTCTTCTTCCATGGAAAGTGCTCAGACGAACCGTATTCCGTCAGTGATAACCTCTACGGCGAGGACCTACCATGCCACTCCCATTGAAGCAAATCACCCTCTGTATTCCGTTGGAGAGAAGTAAGTTCCACTCGAGTAGCTTCTTCCAGGGAACCATTGCTCTGTGGAACTAACTCCCAAGAGGATGTTTCCCCGATCACTAAAATCTTAACCTGTTCAAGTCTAGGGATAAAAGTTATCTTCCCCCACCAATAAACTGTGCCTCAGTTTAACCCCGGGGCCTTGTGCATAGTGTATTACAATAATAATAAAAAAAAGTTCTGGCTGAGAAACTGTCCAAGTAGAATAGGGACGTTTTTTTACGCCGTGAAAAATTGACTGACGGGTCCTAGCTGTGAATGTCAATTGGTGGAACTAGTTAACACTATGACAAAAGAAAAAGTAAACCCCATAACTTGAAATTAATCTAGGGGTATCAGATAACTTCCCCTCCTATCCGTGCAAACTGACTCCTAACATAAACATCTACTGGCTCCCGGGCCTTGTACTTAGTGAATCCTACTTCATATATATATATACATATATATATATATATATATATATATATATATATATATATATATATATATATATATATATATATATATATATATATATATATATATATATATATATATATATAGTAAGGTCCAAACACAGACATACATATATATATATATATATAGAGAGAGAGAGAGAGAGAGAATATTTAACATCGAAAAATATAAGAAAAATTAATTCCTTTTAATAATATGTGGAAATATCCACTCTTTGCCTGATGAAGGTCGCGGGACCGGAAACCCGTGTAGCAAAATTAAGGTAAATAAAGCATAATGTATTTATATTTTTTTAAATCCAAATTACAACCAAAAACGTTCGCGGTTTCTCTCTTCTTTTTATTTGGAACTACTATAACCTCTTCCCTTTACATATATATATATATATTCTCGACTCTCCCGTCGAATTCGACGTATGAGGGTCAAGCAGATGAGTTCCTGATATATATATATATAGTAATTCATCTAACCCAGAATAATTTCAACAGAATGCAGTGGGCGGCCGAATAGTAGTGAGCATCCACTACAGAGAATCGAACATGGATCATTTCGATACAACGCACGTCATACCAACTGTACCACGGGGCCTAGGAGACGAAGAAGACACAAACAAGACTCGATATAGCGCCGCTACTCACTCAGTATCGCAGTGATACTCATCCAAGTATACGGATAACATCAGAACAGTGCCCCCAAGAACCACATCTTCTTATTGACCCTTAGCCGCTCCTCAATAGCATTAGCTGGGTCAAACAAGGATATACAAGGGAAGTGATTCTCAGTAGTGGATGCGCACTGGTGATGAGTCCCAAATAGGACGAAAGGGCCGTCCAGTGTTTTCTGCATTATGTTAAAGCGTATTCTGGGCTCGATTAATTACTATACATGATTACTCTAAATCAGTGGCGTAGCTAAGGGGGAGAGAGAGGGCGGACCGCCCCGGGTGCCAGCACAGGAGGGGTGACACAATGTCACCCCCAACAAAATTTTTCAACCAGGCTAAGGTGCCAAAAATAGTCTGAAAACAGTGGTTGAGACACAGGGTTTCGCAAGCGAGCATATGACCCCCAGAAATAATTTATGAACCCCCGGTTTTGTCCCCCCGTCATAAATTTTCTAATAAATTATCGGGAAATTTGTGAGTAGGAAAAATAGCAATGTTTTCAGCTTTCATGTGTTTGAGTTGCTACAATCTTAGTTACTAACAAGAGACATTGTTGTAACATTTTATCGGATGATATGGTGTTTTAACTCTGCATCATTAATAACAACAAAGCGAAATACGAAGCCAAAAATGCAACAATTTCAGTCTTGCCTGTGTATCAATTCGCTGAGATACAATTTTCCATTGAATGAGCGATATACTTTTGAATATATCTACTATTGTTGGGACGATTAATCGGAATCGAGAATCGGAACTTTTTGGGGTATCGGAAACGGTATCGGAATCAGAAAAATTTGTGCCTATTTTCCGATTCTAAAAACGATTCTTTTAAATTTTTAACTTAATTTTCCATTATTGGTACTAATGATAAATATTTATTGTTTTTAAATTATCACTAAAACTAAAATCATAATAACCTCAAAATACGATGTAAATTTATTTTACTTGTATAAAGAAAAAGAAAAAATAATCTTTTCATAAATTCTCGAGGTAACCTTTAAAAGAATGCAGTTGATTTACAATGTTCCGAAAAATGCTTAAAAATTAAATAGAACATTTTTGTCAAGAAAAATACCTTCAAACATCATTGATAATTAGATGGTACCCAGAAAATGATGCAACGGAAAATTGGACACCAGAAAATTAGCAACAGAAAATTACGTCAACCATGAGCCAGTCGAGACTTTCGGATCTGGCTGTTCTGTCCATTGAAAACGAGCTTACAAGACAAACAGATTTTGACAATGTCATTGACCAGTTTGCCACAATGAAAACAAGAAAACATTCATTCTAAGACCATAGACCATAGTATCGAATGTCATTCTTTTGTGTATTGCCGTGTTTTGTATTTAGTTGTTCTGAAAGTGATCAGTTGCATTTTAAAAATCTTTTGATTTGAACTGATTATTTTGTGGTATTGGATTTTGTCTTGGATCATACATGTAAACAGTAACGTACCGGTCAGTAGAGTAAAGTAGAGGTAGAGCATGTATGAAAATTTAGCTACAGCTAACCATTCAGCATAGGGTGAATTGGGGTCATTGGGGTGACATTTGAGCGGACCGCCCCGGGTGACGTTTACTCTAGCTACGCCACTGCTCTAAATCCCCCAAAATTTATTCACTCATATATATATATATATATATATATATATATATATATATATATATATATATATATATATGTTAGCTGTCGCTGATGTTAAATTCTTTCCAATAAGTTCTTTATGTAAGAAGATAAATAATACACATAAAAAAAATATATATATATTCGACCACAGTTCTATTAGAACCCATTTAAACGCACACACAAACATAGCAGGCCCCATCCGAAACATACTAGTAGATAATACAAAGTAATAACCTCATCCACATGTATAAAAAGATTAAAAATAATGGGAGCCTTAATGATAAAAAAGTAAAAGCCTGCACTTAATAATATTAATTAAGAACATGGCCACAATGTGCTGACTGTGCTCGGAAAATAAAACATTTCTATAACACTAAAACATACACACAACCCACATACCAAGTTAAATTGAAAAATAAAATCATCCTTGATAATGGCGAAATGTATAGCCGAAAGCGCTTGAAATTATAGACCATTTGGACAGTTTCTACACAATCTATGTCCAAAGAGTAAAAACACTT